CATAGGGAAATTTAATGCCTTTTTATCGGGAATGAGGAAAAGCTACTTGAAAGAATGAGCACTTGGGAAGAGCCTCAAACAAGGGTGATATAACAACACCCCAGTCTCATGATAGTGTCATTACTAGCATTATCGTAAGGGCTGATATCTGCGTGTTTACTCTGTGCCAGGCACCATGCTAAGTGCTTTCCATCATTCATCCTGCTCAATCCTCATGTTCCTTTGCCAGATAAGAAAACTAGAAAATGTCAGAATCTAGGTAAGAACTCAAGTGTGTGTGTCTCCAAAGACTGCCACCCCCCACTCAACAGGCTGGAGTGAGAACACATTTCAGCTGGGCCTGAACTTGGGCAGAGTGTAGGAAATAAGAGGCTTTGGATGACGATCTGGAGAAGGTGCCCAGAGAGGGAGCTGCAGCCAGACTCCAGGCGGCCTCGAATGCCAGCACGAGGTGCCTGTGCTCAGAACAGGCAGTGGTGAGCCCAGGAGGTTTGTGAGCAACAGAGTGATATAGCTAGACCTGAGCTCTAGATGGGCAGGTGAGGAGGGTGGGCTGAGAGGATGGGAGCTCAGAGGCCATCGCCATGGTCTGGGTGAGGGATCGCACCTGGGGGAGGTGAGAAGGTGTGTGGGAACACATGAGCCCTTGCCTCCGTGTCAGTGTGGAAGATTATGGATGCGTGAGAAAGGGAATTCGTGTGCAATGAGTGCCCATGTGAGTGGGGGGGAGGCCGTTCCTGCAGAGGAACAAGGTCAAGGTCACAGAGCCTTCCTGGTGGGAAGTGGTGAGGTGGAGGGTGGGGGAGAGGAAGGAACAGGACCAATCAATTGATCTGCCTGAGCAGGAGGGTTCCAGTGAAAGAGAAGCCATCAATTCACAGCCTGCTGGGACCTCAGAAAACTGCCAGGCACATGGAGGGACTCAGTGAGCACTTGTTAAAAGGATAAGTAAGGGACTCTGAGACCTTGGCCTCTAGTCTCTCAACCCAGGGCTGGCTTTGTCCTATAGTTTTATAGAGATCACTGTCATTCCAACTAGAGCCCCTGATCCCTGGCTCTCTCTGCCCAAACCAGATATTCTGAGCTGGAGCTGCCACGTTCCCACGGCCCCAGCCTGGTCCCTGGGGCCCCAGCCCCGTTCCTGGGCCTCGTGCTCCCCCGCACATCTTTGTAACAAGCGTGTTCCTGTGTGGCCTCCAGGCGGCTTCATACTTTCCTAGGTCAGGGCCTCTGCCTCCCCCTAATTCTGGAGCAAAGAAGATGCTGCCAAATTGGTCTCATGCTTTTGTCTTGGCCAGAGATGTTCTGCCTCTCATCATGGACAGAGAACTGGCACCATGCGTCCCTAACTTGGCCCCTCGTACTTCAGACTTCCCAGCTGGCCCAAGGTTGCCCCTCCAGAGGACTTCACAGACCCTCTGAATGATAGCTCTGGATCTCATCCTCACCCAGGGTGCCTCTTTAGAGATGTCACGGAACCTCAATGTGCACCCTGGGGAGAAGACCAAGCAGATGACAGTACCCAGGAGGGGCTGGCTCCCCGGTCAGAGAGAAGAAAACCCGGTTTCAGCTCCTTGGGCACCTGCTGCCAGACTGAGTGAAAGCGGGGACTTTCTCCAGAGTATCCAGAGCCCAGCCTTCCTGCTCAGCTCATCTGCAGCCCTGTGCTGTGAAATAAAGAGGACCGCGTGGTACATAGACAGAAAAGCGATCTCTTTCAAGACTGTATAAGCTGCACAAATTCAGAGGAAGACATGCCTAAGAAATCACGACTCCAAGCCCCACTCTTGACAGATGCAGAAACAGAGGTATAAAATCTTAGCAGTCTCCAGTTGCTTGTGAGCAGTCTAAGCCATTTCTGGATTTCACCAGAAGCTCCATTTGCATCCAAAAGAATGTTTGTGGATTGAATGTATTTGCCTTTGGGGAGCACCGCTGTGCAGGGGCAGAGCTGGGCTGGAACCAGGCCTTTCCGTTCCAGGCTCTCAACCGCCTCCTCTGGGCTGTGCCTTTCGTGACTGGTTTGCTTCCTCCAGGGTGCTCAGGCAGATGCAAGAAGGTGATTTGTTGGAAGGTGAATCCTGGGGGCTGCCTGGCATAGTCTGTCATCCAGATGGTGGCCAAGTAGACCCAACAGGGCTGGGAGTGGGGGGAATCTTATTTATGGAGGGAACTCAGTGAGTTGACTCTCCATAGGCTATGGAGGAGTTTCTAGGGTCTAAGGAACTGCTCTCTTTTCTCCCCTCCTTGCTGCACTTTCCAGCCTCACCTTCTAAGAAAACAGTGCAGCAGGCTCTTCAGTTGTCTCTGCACCCCGGGAACCCTCTCTTTGGAAGGGGCCCCCAGTCTCCAGCTGCGGAAAGCTCTCCCTCCAAAGGATTCCATAGACACAGCATCTCTCATGGCAACAGAGAGAAGGCAAGAGATATAGGGCAGGCAACATGGGGGCCAAATCCTGGCTGAAGAGTCACAGCTACTACTGGGTGTGTGACTGCTGTGTCTTGGTTTCCCCACTGTCTTCACTGCTCCCTCACAGCTTTTTTACAGCCTCTTCTGCCTCTAAGAAATCGGAGATTCAGAAGCTGTGTCTCCTCCTTCACTATCAGATACCCAGCAATTAACACATAGCAGATACTTAAAACAATTCCCTGAATGATTGAAGATCAAACGGAAGCCAGGAGGGAAATTCTTCCCTCAGGCACTACCATCTGACAATTCTTCACAGCCGCAAGTCTTGGGAGAGCCCTGGCAATCCTGGAGCCCTCTGCAAAGCTGCTTCCCCTCCCAGATTCACAGATCTGGTTGGAGGAGCTAAGCAGAAAGCGGAAAAATGTGCCAGAGGGAAGAGAGGGTGGCCTGAGCCCCAGGCAGAAGCAACTTGCACCTTCTTAACTCCTGTGGCTCCTTTCTGCCCCGTCTAACTTCCTTCTCCTCTGGCCTCCTCTCCCTGCCCTCCCCAGCTGTCCTGTGCTCTCCTAGAGCAGGAAGAGCTTTTCCTTCCCTCCTGGGGGTCAGAGCCTGCCTGATCCTTCACTAGTCAGGAAGACTCCTGGAGCTACAGCTGTCTCAGGTTAGGGAAGGGAGAGGCAGCAGAGGAGAGATTCTGGTCTGTGCCAGGCCTCTTGAGCCTGGCCTCTAGGAGAGGACCTCCTCTTGGAGAGAATCTGGAGGTGCCTTTTCCAGCACCTTCTGCAGTCCAGGGAGAGGTTTTCTATCTGGGTTCACTAAGCCTCCAGGTCTTTCAGTCCACACCCTCAGGCAGAGCTGGATGAGGAAGGAAACTGCCCTCTCTCTTCCTAGCCTTGCCCCAGTCTGAGACCTATTTAGAAGTACTGTGTGTGTGTGTGTGTGTGTGTGTACACGCATGCTGAGGAGGCAATGTATGTGCTTCTTCTGTTGGTGGGCCTGTGCCTGCACATACATAGTACAAGGTGTGTAGTGGTGTGGTGTAGATGTTGTGTTTGGTTGTCTGTGGCATATCCGTGGTGTGATATGCATGGATGGTGGTGTGCGTGCGAGGGTGTGTTTATGGAGTGTGTGTGTGTGTGGGGGGGGGGGTTGTGAAATGCAGTGGTTGTGTTTGGTTGTCTGTGGCATATCCGTGGTGTGATATGCATGGATGGTGGTGTGCGTGCGAGGGTGTGTTTATGGAGTGTGTGTGTGTGTGG